CGGACTTTCGGAAAGTGAAACTTACGAAGGTGAGAATGCCGGTGATGCGTCTGTATGGAGTCCTGCGATATCCGAACAAACTATCCCTTGACTTTATACTCGATTATGAACCAAAATTGGGTTTCCAGAGATACCAAATATGTCTGTGTTTCAATAAAGTTCATGAGTGTGAAAGTCATTTATAATCACTCGTGGAAGTCTGTTTTCTTTTATGCGGTTATGCTCTATGGGTAGCCCTAGTAATATATGTATGGGTTGTTCCTAGTGGGCGTCCAAGGGGGAAAGAGTTAATGTCGTACTGTGGAACATTCTAAGCAGAGCAATAACATATCCATAGAAACAAGCAGTTGACGGATCCCCAACCAAAATGTTACATAGTGCAGCTTTAAGACAGAAAATACTCCTTGTGATGTCATGTGGTAATACAGGATGTGCTCCACTGTGTTTTTTAAACTCCATACACCTTCACTAGAATCATTTGGATGATTTCACTCCTGGAATTGAGAATCTCCACTGAGTAAAAAGTAAAATGTACCTGTTAACTGTAAGAGAATTTAACTAATTTATCTTCCAAGTACATCTCAGTTTAACATTGACTCACAAAAGCAATATTTACACCATGATCTTCCCTTGGCATACCACTGGCATACCATTTATCTAAACTGTGGCATAGCTGTCTAACCGGTGTCTACTGGCCTTTATAGTTTCAACACACTTACTTTATAAACCTCGTCCTTTGGAAGCAGAGTCAAGGGGCTTGAACACTCAAAGATCATACTATGTTCACTTTTCAGCTCCCCCCAGGCCCGTATTATTGATGGTAAATAAACTTCTCCTGCTTAAGACATCCAGTTGGTCTACAGCCTTTTTACTTGCAGCCTTTCTTGGACAAGCCGAAAAACCTCTACATTAATTTGTAAACAACCACTACATGACATCACAAGGTAGAACAGAGTGTTTGATCTTTCAAGACGTAGACAGACTAATAAAGAGTTTCTTAGAGTTACTCCAGGTTTGTTTTTGATGAGGTAACAACATCATAACATGGATTTAAGCGCAAAGAGTCAATTTACATAATATTGGACCTTTTAACCTGTTTTTTGTATCATAGTTCATTTTGTGACATTTAAAATCCATGGTTTCCTGTCCTCATTTGTAGCAGTTTGTGGTTTAGTCTCTGCTTCACAGCTCCAGTCCATTTCTGCTGACCTAGTATCTACTGTAGGGAATAAATAATGTAGAAAGCGTCAAATATAACCATTCTTGTCCAATTCATGGGTTTCAGGGTGATGTAAAATTAGCACTGTTGCCTTAGAAACAATTCAAAACTAGAGATAGACTGATATATTTTGTCGATGTTTGGACTTTTTAGCAAATCTGCTATTGACCTTGCCTAAAACACACACAAAGCTTTCTATTAACACTTGAAGAAATAGCTGTACAAAATGTGACTACACAGTTCTCTTGTAGGTTTGTGGTTAAAAAAAAAAAGTGTAGTAAGTAAAAGTTACATAATTTGGGGAAAATAATCAAAATCACTGCAGAGCTTATCAGCCATTAGTCACTCTTTATATTAAACTATCAGCCATCAAAAAAACATATCAAGCGATCTCTATTCAAAGCAAAATACCGTATTTTTCGGACTATAAGGCACATTTAAAATCTTTAAATGTTCTCAAAATTCAACAGTGCGGCCTTATAATCCGGTGTGTCTTATGTATCAATTCTGGTTGTTTTAGTACGACTTTGGTAAACTACGAAGCAGCACAACTTGATGGACTGTGTGAGCATTACGGTTACTGTAGTCAGGAACCTCGTTGATTAAAGGGCGAAGTATAGTTCTGCGTCGACTCAGCGCACACTGCCGCCTTATAGCAGAAAGAACACTTAGTCCGACAGAAGCTGAACCGCATCAGTACACAAGGAGCGAGCTGTTTTTTTCAGTGCTTATACTTTATGTAAATTAGCCATGTGAATTTAAGTTTCATTTCTGTAAAACATAAACAAATGTGCACAAAGCTGCTTTAAAGACCTCATTACTCAGTGTATATTTGAGTCCTGGTAGAAAATAAAACAACAAACTCAAATTGTCCACCCACATTCACATTCATAATTCACACATTCACCAAGACGGGAATGAAACGCCGGGCGATTTACACCACGATCTGCCAATGGATCGTGTATGCCTGGGCTAAGAGATCAGTCTCAAGTGTGTTTCGCTTAATGTGCCTTATAATCCAGAGCCCCTTATGTATGAAAATAGACGAGAGAATTCAGTATTATTGATGTTGTGCCTTTAAAATCTGGTGCACCTTATAGTCTGAAAAAATATGGTAATTCTATTTTGAGTGGTGAGAAGTCACAATGTCACCTATACGCCAGACGGTGAGGGTCCACTTTTGCTCTGTTTTACTCACCCTATGTTGTGTTTTTGTTTTGGAAAATGCTTCACCCACATAGCGTATTTATAAAGACATATTTAGCTTCTAACCCCTCGCTCCAAAATAGAAAAGCCCACACTGAAAACTGTAAAAGAGACTCCCATCCAACACCTGGACCGTTTTTCTTCCTCTTTTGAAGGCGAGATGAGGTGGGTGGCACAGCATAGCCTCATGTTTGAGCTTTGAGCAGCAGTTAACGAGACACAAAAATAAAAAGGCAAAAAGGACAGAGAAGCGGGTCAGGGTCTACATGAATATAAATCACTAATCCATTTGAAGAGTTTCCGACAGTGCTATATGGTCCTATGAGATACTGAAAGTCATTAATCTAATCTGAATTAATGGTCCATTTAAGTAGATAAAACGCATTGTTCATTCGTACGTTTCATCATTTTGAACTATAATGGGTAACTGGAGGTTTGAATCAGTCCTGGCGATGAGGGGACTACATCTGGGACATTTGCCAGGAAAAGCTGCATAATGTTCCCACGACTTTACAGTATGGTATTGGCTCATTATAACGGTTCTTAAAAGGGCCTATATTACTCAAAATTGATCCTTGTGAGCTTTAAGCCACGTTATAAAACTGTTCCCTCATCAAAAATACATCTGGAGCTGTGTTTTGTTTCATTCTCACATTTTTCAGTAGCCCTGCATTATTAGTTTGTCGATATCTCCAAAGCTCAAAATCCTCTGTTGCACATTGTGATGTCATGAACTGGTGTTTTTCAAGTTAACAGCTACCTTTTACCTTTTTGTTAAGTAGAGACTGGCAATTCTAGAGCTGAAATCATCCAAATGACTCGAGTGAATATGTATGGAGTTTAAAAACAGAGTCCCATTCACAAGAGTGTTTTCAGTTTGAGAGAAGAACTCAAAGTCTACAGGTTTCTGACAACATGTTGACATAGACTGATGACAAAATTATTGCATTAATAATCTGTTGAAAGGGCAATAAAATCAGTTCCCTCTAAAATGTCAAAATTTCAGTATTGTTTTGCTGAACAGGAAATGACAAGACAACATTAGAAATTGCACAATATAACCATAATTTAAATGAATAAATCTGGTGGTTGTCTTTGTTGGCAATTATCATAACAAGATGTGCCACAAACAACTGTCAGACAAGAGTGGATCCGTAGTTCCAATTAGACCTTAGCAATACTGATTCAAAAATATATATAAATACTTTTGGATTTGTATTTTTGGATCAGTTTCCTATAGACGTGTGCAAAAATATTGAAATATCGATATATCATATTGTTTAATGTGATGATACAGTATCGATATCGTGGGCTGCTGTATCGATAAATTGACAAGAGTGTGTTTTGAATATTTTTCTAAATAATTTTGTGACAGCACTAGGGCTGGGTATCATTAAGAAGCTGCCAATATAATACAAACCTCGATACATAGGCCACGATACACTACATATCTCGATACAGTGAACTTTTGATTCGATACGATATATTTCAAATCAATTCGATATGGTTCAATAAAAATGAATGGCTAAATCATGGCTGTGATATTAAAAGTCTTTGTCAAACCACTTCTTGTGCAAAGTGAATATGAAACGCACCCATTTTAATCATTAAAACAGTGAAAATGTAAAATAAACGAGTTTCCTTCCACTAAACAAGCAACAAAACTGTAGCTGTAACAAAATAATTTAGTAAAATATACCAAAAAATACTCTTGGCGATATATCGATACAGCAGCCCACGATATCAATACTGTATCATCACATTAAATGATACAATATCAATATTTCAATATTTTTGCACACCCCTAGAATTTTCAATTACAATTCACTGTTTTGATTATTAAAATAGGTGTATTTCATATTATCTTTGCACAGGTAGTGGTTTCATAAAAACTTTTAGTATCACAGCCATGATTTAGCCTTTTTTTTTTTTTTTTTACTGAATCGTATTGATTTGAAATATATCGTATCGAATTGTACAGAATCAAAAGTGTCTACATCTGTATCATATCATGTCCTATGTATCAAGGTATCGCCATATCGTATCGGCAACTTCTTCATGATACCCAGTAGGGATGTAACGAAATCCAAATCTCACAGTACGATATTTTCACGATGTGTATCTCACAATACTTTATTTTCACGACATGTATCTCACGGTATGATATTTATTGCAGTATTTTGTGAAAGCTTACAAAACTGTGAATATTCTACTTTTTCCTCTTAAAATGCCTTGACAAGACTTCATCCAAAGAAATAAGACTTAAAAGTGCTTAGAACTGTTATTTCTTCATGTAGTCTGCACTGAAACGAAGCAAAGGATCATGGTCTGTGTAGTTTCCTCTGTTCTTTTTTAGCTATTGCTGCACTATAACTATTAATTTCAGAGAAGAGACTTATAATTCGATATATTGTGATGGTCCACGATGTTATTGTGAGACCTTACGATACAATATCACAATATTTCGGTTATCATTACATCCCTAATACTCAGTCCTAGTTTCCTAATATTTTTGCAGATCCTCCGTGTCTCTCTGACTGGACTCATAGTGGTTCTTTTTCTCTTTTTTCCACAGGGGCGCGGAGGTTTGGGCTCCATCTTTGTGTGGGCCTCGGGGAACGGCGGCCGGGAGCAGGACAGCTGTAACTGTGACGGTTACACCAACAGCATCTACACTCTGTCCATCAGCAGCTCCACGCAGTCTGGGAACGTGCCCTGGTACAGCGAACCCTGCTCCTCCACACTCGCCACCACCTTCAGCTCCGGGAACCCAGGGGAGAAGCAGATTGTAAGTGCTGTTTACTACTCACATGTAAACTACATTTGTGACAGAAGTGAAGGAAAGAAAACCAATCTGTCACCAATAAGCCAATGGGAGGATATAGAAATTTGGTTTGATGTTTATCATAACCAAGATAATTGAGATTAACCATTATATGATGACAATTATGAAAGTTGTTAAAAAAAAAAAAATGGATATGAATGATAATTTGAATATTATGAATAAGTCCCATATTAGTGTTGTATTTTCTTAGTGAAAGTGAAAACAATAATAATCTTGAAAAAAACATCATGGATAAGTATCTTTTTTCAGCAAATTCTGGTGATGTATGGCGATTATATTTGTTGACGATTATCACAATTATATAAAATGTCCCACAAACTATTATCTTCTGCCCTTTTTATCACGATAAACGATAATATTGTTTATTGTCCCATCCATAGCACAGATATTTGCAGACACCAGCTTCAACATATCAGTTCTACCAATATAAATGGATGTAAAAAAGTAAAGTATTTTCTTGTTGCAGTTGGCCCAAAAGCTCTCATTCTTACCGTTACTTGAGATAAATAACAGCTACATAACACATTTGGATCAGTTCTGTCTTATTTTATTTTTGTATGAAAAAAATCAATGCTGTTCTCGCTCTCTGCACTGGGTACTGGTTTATATCGGGAATTGGCAGCTGCTTAAGGCCTTATTATTGGAATTAGTATTGAAACTGAAAAAGCTGGATTGGTGCATCCGTCACAATAACACATTTTGAAGTGCGATATATTGCTGAACAAAATATAAACAATGAATGATCATACTTAAACCAAACCATAATGCAGAATTATGCCCAAAAATATTCTAAATACACCAAATTGTTAAGCAATGACCTGCAATAAATAACAGAATGCAACACTTAATGGTGCATTGCGCAAGTTTTTTCACCTGCTGGTCTTCATGAAGATGTTACTGCTTTGTCTAGAATATTCCACGATTGATATTAGACCTAGTTATTTCAAAGGAGACAACTATAGGCTACATTACAGGTCAGATCTGTGGAGAGGCAAACCTATTCACAGAGATAATTATTGTAAATCTGTGCAATAGAAACACCCGTAATGATTAGGGGTGTGCAAAAATATTGAAATATCGATATATCATATCGTTTAAAGTGATGCCACTGTATCGATATGGTGGGCTGCTGTATCGATATATCGCCAAGAGTATTTTTTGATATATTTTACAAAATTATTTTGTTACAGAGCTACAGTTTTGTTGCTTGTTTAAAGGAAGGAAACTCATTTATGCAAAACATTTGACATTTTTACTGTTTTGACGATTAAAATGGGCGTGTTTCATATGCACTTTGCACAAGAAGTGGTTTGACAAAGAGTTTTAGTATCACAGTCATGATTTATCCTTTATTTTTTATTGAACCATATTGAATTCATTTGAAATATATCGTATCGAATCATAAGCTCACTGTATCGAGATATGTATGGTATCTGGAACTTCTTAATGATACTCAGCCCCAGTAATGAATAAATAGATAGATGGTTTAATGTCATACCATGGAACATTCCTGACAAAGCAATAACATCTCTATGAAGATAAACAGGTGACGGACCCTCCACCAGAAAAGTTGCACGACGCACCTTTAATTAGTTGTATCTATACTGAGTCACAGAAGCTCATAATTCAACATTCATTACCTTACAGCTAAAATCTCATTGTGGAATAGAAAAATAACAAAAATTTCCCCACTAGTACAAATAAAAAGTCCCCATGATAAATATTGACCCCCAGAAACGAATGTTCCATTTATCATCTATTGAGCGATAAGTCGATATACCAATTATCTGGATATGATATGAAGAGGATTTCAGAGGGCATGATTGACAGGCGGATTAATCAATCAGAGAGACGTATGGTCCATCTCTGACAAAAATAAACATAGTGGCTTACCTGAAATAAAGGAGAAAAAAACAACAAACAGGACTGAGAAACAGTATGGATTTTTGCAGAATAAACAATCAAAGCACCAAACTATTACTTATCTCAGGTAAAAGAAGTTATATACTGTATTTTCCGGAATATAAGTTGCACCAGCCAAAAAATGCATAATGAAGAAGAAAAAAACACAAGTTGCACTTTTTGGGGGAAATATATTTTATAAAACCAAGAACCGACATTTCATCTTGAAAGGCAAGTTATAGTAATAACAATAGAACAGAGAACAACAGGCTGTTAATGTCACATATGAACAGTTATTCAGATAATTATAGCATAAACAACAGAACAAGTTTAACAAACTCTTCATCTCAATGCAAATCACTAAATCCAGTGAATTCTTTATCCTCGGTGACACTTCTGAACAACGCCGCAGCCTCTGGAGGTAAACGGAGCACCACTTCCTCTTGTGCGTAGCTGCTGTCAGACTCAACATCAGTTCCAGTTAGAATTATTCAGACCTTTCTGAATCCTGACAGGATGGTTTCGGATGTAACTGAAGTCCAGGCTTTGTCGATTCATCCAATACCTTCCAGGAAAGTTTCACGGTGCACCTTCCTGGTTGCCGTGAACCTGTGTTCTCCATCCCCGCTTTCCCCCAGTCCCTCACGAGTTTCTCCCTCACTCCAAACTTTCTTTCTGCTGCTTGATTACCGTTTTCAGCTGCATATTTCACTACTTGGAGCAGGACAGCGGCTCTTTCTGCAGGAGACATGTGCAGTAGAGTGATGTGACAGTGGTACAGGAGTAACAGGAGCAGCAGATACTGACACACAAACCTAAAGCACCCTCTTGTGGCAAGTCGCACCAGAGTATAAGTTGCAGGACCACTCAAACCATGAAGAAAGTGTGACTTATAGTCTGAAAAATACGGTATTTTGTTCTGAATGTTATGAGAATTTTGGAGAGCAGATTTCTTCATTATACAAAATAACAGCGGAGGTTGGACCATCTCAAGTTTGGATGGATAATTTTCACCCTCATTGGTCCGGTTACAGGGCGTGGCTGTTTAGTCAATGAAAATCAGCTATAGTGCCTTTAAAGCAAAGACTCTTCCCTTCTCTTTCCTCTTTTTACCAAACTTCCACAGTTCTGTTGATAACAAAAGACAAACAGAAAAATCTAAATAAATCCTCTTAAAAGCCGATTTAAAAAGATTATGTTCGAATCCATCTCACAAACCTCGCATTCTTAACTAGAACAGCCAACACACAGTGAGTCACTCTGACAAACACTCAGAGACGCCACAAACTCCCTTCAAGGCTCTCGTCAGCTGAAAAAAGACCTGCCTCTGGCTTCGAAAACAACAAGACAAACTGTAAATGTTCCAGTGGAGCTGAGTCCTCTGAGGGATACTGCAGGCTCACAATCGCACCACACACACATACTAGTACTATTTAATCGCTCATTTGAATCCTGAAAGCGTCCTGTCGTTTTGGATTACATAAATTGAACTATGTTGGCAACAGCTGAGTTTATGTAAATTGTCTACGTTGTGGTCCAGGCATTTCAATTTAAAAATAATATTCAATTTGAAATGTTGGTACAAGACAAATAGATGACCGAATAACAGTGGAATTTATTCAGCTATACCATTTCCATCTGATTTATTGAACGCGCATTGTGTGACTTTTCTGGTGGTGGGTCTGTCAAATGTGCTTTCGCCATGGAAATGTTATTGCTTTGTCTGGAATATAGACTGTATAAAGAAGTGGACTAAGCGAGTCTGACGTCACCCATAGCATTTGGGTCCATTCAAATGAAGCTCGTGATGATAACTTTTTTTATTTTTATGGACAAAATAGTGGGGAAAAAAATAACACCCGGATGAGGATCATATAGAACGAGTTAATACGTATATTTTAAGACCAAAATGACGAGGCTCACAGCGGGTTGGGTCAGGTACCATGAAACGGGCGGGTTTTAACGTTCTGGAATTTTAAGGGCAAGTATGCAGGCGTGTAGTAATTACGCACAGGCGGATCTGGACTAAATCAGGACTACACCAGGACTACACCAGGACTACACCAAGACTACACCAGGACTAATCTTGGACTTGAGATAGAGAACCGTGAGCCCGCAGAGTAGGTTGTCACCAAAATGCAATTGGATGACTGCTTAGAACAATCTGTGGGGTTCTACAAAAAAATAGAAAAATAGAAAGCCTTATACATTGGCGTGGGTTTAGTAAATAAACCATTTTGACCATTGCTTCTCAAATTTACCAGCTTTCAGCTCTCAGATAATAAGTTGTTTTTTCCATCACATAAATTTCCTCCATTATATCTATCCATTGTTGCAATTTCAAAGGGTCATCCTTCAGCCAGTTCCTTGTCATTACTTTCTTGCTAGCCAAGAGCCTCACTTTAAACAAATAGAAGTCCTCAGTTCGAATATTGTTTTCATGCAACAAGCCCAAGAACTGTGGGTCACTAAGTATTTTATAGCCAAATACTGCTCCATTACAATTGCAATATTTTCCCAAAAAGATTAAATTTTAATGCCTTTCCAAAACAAATGAGAATGACTGGCACCCCAATCACCACACCGTCTCCAACACTGTGGTAGTAAACAGGGGTCTCCAACCTGTAGCTCAGGAGCTACCAGTAGCTCTCCACCCCCTTCCAAGTAGCTCGCCAAGGAATTTCGAAATTATGCCATTGTGCTGAATAACAATGAATAAAATGTGGTTAATTACATACCCATTACTATTTTAAATATATAATTGTGAAGCCCAACTTTGTGCACTAATAAATGGACAATGTTTTATGTTTTATAGGCACCTAACTGTACCCAAAGGCTCGTCCTCTTTCTTATAATCTTCTCAGTTTCTTGCAGCTGCTAAATGAGTTGCTCTCTGGCATTTTTATTTTGTAAAGGTAGCTCACTTGGAGGAAAAAGGTTGGAGACCCCTGTATTAAACCTTTCTATTTGCATGGAGACCAAACCAGACCAAGTTACAACTCCTGCGCAGTCAGATCTGTGGAGAGCCGACCTTGTTCACAGTCAGAATCCCTGTTTTTCTAGGTATTTTTAAGCTACACAACCACCTGCAATTGGGTAAATGTAAGGTACAGCTGTTTAATTATGTCATACTGTGGAACATTCCTTAGAAACAAGCATCTGACAGACCCTCAACCAAAAAATTAGACAGATACACACATACATTTGAGGACTCTTCTGCCTGAAACTTGTGCATTATTAATTCTCTCTCTCTTGCACTTGTAACAAAGTGGGCTAACCTCCTCTGCACTTTATTGTTTATTCGAATCATGTTCACACTGTGTTTCTGCAACTTAATTCAGTGGTAAACAAAATGTGGATGTGGCGGTTCTCTGCTGCGTTTTCTGTCTGAATATCAAGGTCACTTCACACATTCTGGCCTATATGGTTTTGTATCACTCTTTCCTTCTGTTTACAGTTCATACTCTGTTACATTGTTAGTCATGTACCCATAATGCTGCATTGTGAGTAGAGATTGACCGATTTTCATGGCCGATAAAGTCTGGCGATATTTTTGGGCCTATATGTAGGGTTGAAGTTGAAGTATATCCCCAAATTATCACCTATAACTGAGATGTGTAGTATGTTTTGCGCATTTATCTTTTTGCACTGAAGTCTTCTAATAGTTTTAATAAGGTTTTATGCATATCCTTAAAGCAGCAGGTCGGCTAGAACAAAATATTGGCTTATGTTGGAGACTGAAGGCTGATTGCTGAGATACAAAAAGGCCAAATATCGGCTCGTTATACTGGCCAACCAATATTTTGCTCAGTCTCTAAGATACTGTAATGTAATAAAGGATAACTAGCAAATAGGAGTCACTGAAACATATGCACCTTAGCTCTATTTGTTTTGACTTTAACTATTCCACTCCTAGTACTATGAAAGTGTGTTTGTGTTAGGGTTGCAAGATTAATTGCAATCAAATCAAACATGCAATTTGAATGGAGGCAAATAACAAATTGCAAAGGCTGCAAAATACCATAATTTTCTCTGTAAACAACAAAATATCTTGTCTCATTCTGCATAAAAACCCTGTAGTTTTGATTAATACAAACATGCAATTCTTATATTAGTTTGGCTGTCTTTTTTTTTTTCCAATTCTGTAAATGGACATATCTAACCTGCCAGCCGCCACATTGCAAATAGGAAGTGATCATCGATTCTGTCTCCAATTCACTTTGTACTGAGAAACTCTCACCCCTGTGTCTGTAACAGCTGCTGTCAGGCTTCTCATTTTGATCTTAAAGGGACAGTTCAGAATTTTGAACATAGGACCTCATTTCCTAGTGAGCCAGAGTGTTGGAGACGGGTGGAGACACTTTTTTAAATATTCCATCGAGTCCTTGTATTTGCAGAGGTCACTGGTGCTAGGCTAGTGTATGTCAATGGCCATAGTTAGCCTGCCACTAAAACAGTCTTACCCACTCCACAAAGCAGCCAAAGCAAATCTATTATGACGCCAGACTGTCGATGTAAATGTCTGTGTTGATAGATATTGAGGGACTATTTTCTCAGATATCAGTCTGCCACTGCCAAGCTTTCTGTCAGGAAGAACAACTCGCTGCTGCTGCTCAGACATAAATCCTTCAAATGCAAGGTTGGTTTTACTTCTCAAATTATTCTATCGACACAGACATTCATATCGACAGTCTGGTGTAATAACAGATTTGCTTCAGGTGCTTTGTGAAGTGGGTAAGACTGTTTTTAGTGGCAGGCTAACTATGGCCATTGACATGCACTAGCCTAGCACTAGCGGCCTCTGCATATACAAGGACTGGTTGGAATATTTTTAAAAATGTCTCCAAACGTCTCCAGCACTTTGGCTAACTAGGAAATGAGTCCAAAATTCCGAACTGTCTCTTTAAAATGTTTGCATTAACCTGCTCTACATGATCTTGTTTTTTATATTTTGTTTGTAAATAAATTCCTGTTCCTAATATGGAACTCAGCTCCAAATTTGCCAGCCCCTGTGAGCTTCATTAGACTGGAGCCAAACTTTATGGATGATGTCATTCTCCCTTTGTTCACTTCTTTATACAGACTTTGATTCTGCCGGATGTGTTTGAAGGAAATGCTGTTATTAAAACATAAATGGCAAATATAATCACATCTCAATGCTCGTCAAAAAAAGTCTCAATTACACATGTTTCTTTTTTATTTGTGAGATGCGTCATTTGAATGACTCATATGTAATTTCCAGTACAAGGTTACTTTACTTTTCTTTTCCTTTCCCTTTGGCAGATTCTACTCAAGTTTGTATGTTGCAGCATCCTTTGAATATTAAGCTCAACTCTTAGCGATGTGAAAATGACCTTGTTCTGTTGGACCAAATGTGTGACAAATATTTTTAGGGAGCACAGCAGCTTTTCGTAGCATTCTAGTGATTATTCTTGTCTTGATGCATGACCTTACAATGATGGTCCCAGTGCTGCCGGAAACTAGATCGGGGAATTTCAGCATTTTTGTCGTGCTTGTTGCCATGATAACCACATTCGCTAATAGTACGAGATGCACCGAGTGTCTTAATGTCCTGGCTGTGGTCGCTCGCAAATCACCAAAGCCAGTTTTTATTTGGAGCTGGAAAAGTTTGAAGTTTGGTCAGTCTGACACCATTAAAAGTGTTAAGTTGAAATGTGACTCAGTGTAAGAAGAAGTGAAATCACAGCTTGTTTATTTCACTCTTTGACTTTGCAAATGCTCATAGAAAGTCAATCCAGTGGGTTAATAACAGAAAACAGAAAGTGAAACAGCAGATGAAGAGGAGGGAGCTGTGACAAGAGCTGAATGATGAGGTTTCTAAATTAACAGCTCCGTCTCATATTTATTGAATCTGTTGAGGTGCTTTTACAATTTGAGCAAATGAACAACAGAATCTCATTTAATGTTTCATAAGATCATAATGCTCACTCTGGTAGCACTTTATACTAACTACACTTTAATTATCTATAATAATAATGCATTCATTTTATATCGCGCTTTTCAAGGTGCTCAGAGTCACTTTACGATTTCATACATTATTCATTGCACTCCATACCCGGTGGCGTTAAGATATTTTTTGTATTTGCACATATACACCACATTGCCTAAGGACACAACATCAGTTATTTGCCACTGGCGTCCCACTGTGACACCTGAAGAGTGGTTCAGGTGCAGTAACTACATAATTAAGGAGTTATATTATTAATTAATGAATTATTCTTCATAAACTATTTGTTAATTGTGAGTTTGTTTTTTAATAATAATTTAAATTCACCTTAAAGGGTCCACATGACTTTTTTCATGTTATGTTATAATGTTGTTTCCTCATCACAAAAATACCTGGACTTGTGTTTCATTCACACATGTCTACAACACACATCCTGCACATTTAGGCTGTGTTCTTCTCTCAAACAGAAAACTCAGTGTGTCTGTTCCACCTTGTGTCATGTGCTAATACAGGAAGTGCTCCATGGTGTTTTTAAACTCCATACCATGGATCTGTTAAAATAACTGGATAGGGTGCAGAAAGAACAAAAATGTGGCTGTTTGCTCTTGGAAAAAAGGATCAAAACTCAAACACCACGGACTCCAGGCACTCCAAAACAGTAGAAAAAGTTAACACATCGCACGAGGAAAAATATAGTTAAAAGGCCTTTATTTGAATGGCCAAAGCCAACATGTTTCGACCTTAACTGGTCTTCATCAGGGCTTAACTGGATAGGGTATTGCTGTTTGTAGCTGCCTCCAGTTGACGTAGTAAAGACTCACTGGTACTACAGCAGAAAAAACCTAGGCCGAGAAAGGATTTTATTTTTACAAACTGCTTGTGTTCGGCTGACAGGGCACCTACAAACCTACTTTCAAAAATGTTGGATTTTGTGGCGATTTTTACCTATTTTTCTATCAGAAACTTTTTCTCAGCTCAAAATCCTTCCGTTGTCTTAAAAAACACTTTATAATCGTTAGCTCCGGCTCCGCTCTGCACCACTGTAGCTTCTTCCGCTCTGATTGGGCAAAGCGATCATGAGACTCCGTGCATTCGCATGTGCCAGCTGGAGAAAAGAGCACTACTGCACATGCTCAATCGGCCCACAGCCACCAGAAGTACCTCTCTGGGCTAAAGGCAAATCTGGAGTCATGCACCGTTGAGCTCGGCCCCACTTATTTGAATGGGTGTCCATTTTGAAACCCGGGAACTTGCTCCATACATCTTTACTACAATCATTTGGATAATTTCAGCACTGGATTTGCTAAGTTCCACTTAACAAAATTTAAAAGGTAGCTGTTAACTTTAAAAACTACTGCTTCATGACATCACAAGGTGGAACAGAGGATTTTGAGTTTTGGACATGTAGACAAATTAATAATAAAAGATTACTCAAACGTGTGAGTGAAACAAAACAAAACTTAGGTAACAATCTTCTAACATCGCTTAAAGATCACAAGTTACTTTTGCGTAATATAATAAAGAATGAAAAAAGTGGTGCCAAGATTATGATACATTTCCTGCACATTTTGGCTTCAAGTTCCATTTTCTTTTCTTTTTTTTCCCTTTTTTTTATTATAAAGGACTTTCAATGCAGTCTGAGTCTCTGAGATTTGTTCTGCCTGTTCAAATTGTAAAAGAAGACATCTCATTTTTTAGGTAATTTCCCCTGGCTCCCTCATATTTCTTGTACATGAGGACTGCTCTTTTACCCTGTGGCTTTGTCTCATTGTGACCAGACGCTTCATTATCCGCCTCCTGCTCTCTCCGTGTTAACATACAGGCCGCTCCTCTGTGCTCCTCTCTGGTCCAGCTCCTCTTGGCTGACATTCAGTGTCCACAGTGGGACCCTTTGGTACTGTCCACAGACCTGATGGGGTTTTTTTTGTGATTTACATCCTGTGTCCTCTTGTGCTTCCTCTCGTTGCCTAGGTGACCACAGACCTGAGGCAAAAGTGCACAGAGTCTCACACGGGGACGTCAGCCTCGGCTCCACTCGCAGCGGGGATCATCGCTCTGACACTGGAGGCAAAGTGAGTAACAATGACACACTGGCGCTGTTCACACACATACAGACACACACACACCAAAATCTGCAGTAGCTCAGTCGGTAGAGTGTGCCGTGAGTCCACTGATCCGAAGGTTGACGGTTCAAATCCCACTCGACACAAACATCATTGGTAAAGCAGCTCTGACATTCGAGGCAAAGTGATAAAGCAGTTCTGACACTCGAGGCAAAGTGAGTAACAAGGACACACTGGCTAAGGTTATGTTTGACACCAAAATCTCCAGTAGCTCACTTGGTACAGTGCCCTCTGATCCGAAGGTTGCCAGTTCGAATCCCATTCTTGACACGGATATCTTTGGTAAATTGGCTCTGACATTGGAGGTGAAGTGAGTAACAATGACACAATGGCACTGTTCACAAACGCACAAACCAAAATCTACAGTAGCTCAGTTGGTACAGTGCCCTCTGATCCGAAGGTTGTCGGTTCAAATCCTACTCCCGACACAAACATCATTGGTAAAGCAGTTCTGACACTGGAGGCAAAGTGAATAACAAGGACACACTGGCTAAGGTTATGTTTACACCAGAATTTACAGTAGCTCAGTTTGTACAGTGCCCTCTGATTCGAAGGTTCACGGTTCGAATCCCACTCTTCACACAAACATCATTGGTAAAGCAGCTCTGACACTCAAGGCGACATGAGTAGCTATTTTCACACACATGTACACACCAAAATCTACAGTAGCATAGTTGGTACAGTGCCCTCTAATCCGAAGGCTGACAGTTTGAATCTCAGTTTGTTCACTGATGAAGGGTGACTGTTCGAATCCCACTCTCGGCACAAACATCATTGGTAAAGCAGCTCCAACAGTAAAGGCGAAGTGAGCAATAATAATACACTTACTATAGCCATACACACACAAAAATCTACAGTAGTTTAGTTGGTTGAGTGTTCGCCTCCTGATCCAAAGGTTGCCAGTTCGTGTCCCACTCTCGACATAAACATCATTAGTAAATTGGCTTTGACATTGGAGGTGAAATGAGTAGCAATGACACACTGACTATGTTCACACACACACACACCAAAACCTTCAGTAGCACAGTTGGTACAGTGCCCTCTGATTCGAAGGTTCAAGGTTCAAATCCCACTCTCGACACAAACATCAGTAGTCAATTGACCCTGACACTGGAGGTGAAATGAGTTACAATGATATACCAGTTATGTTCTAATACACACCAAAATCTTCAGTAACTCAGATGGTAGAGCATTTGTGTACTGATGAAGGTTGACAGTTCAAATCCCACTCTCAACATTTACATCACTGGTAAATTGACTCTGACATTGGAGGTGAATTGAGTAACAATTATATACTGGTTATGTTCCTATGCACACCAAAATCTACAGTAATCTGATCCAAAGGTTGCCGGTTCGAAGCCCACTCTCAACATAAACATCATTGGTAAAGCAGCTCTGACACTGTAGGTTAAGTGAGTAACAATGACACACTGGTGCTGTTCACACGCACACACCAAAGTCTACAGTAACTGAGATGGTAGGATGGAGTGTTCGCCTACGGATCGAAAGGTCGCCAGTTCGGATCCCACGCTCGACATAAACATCATTGGTAAAGCAGCTTTGACATTGGAGGTTAAGTGAGTAACAATAACACACTGGCACTGTTCACACACACACACCACCATCTACAGTAACACAGTTGGTACACTGTCCTCTGTTCCAATGGTTGCTGGTTCAAATCCCACCCTCGGCATTAATATCATTGGTAAATTGGCTCTTTGGAGGCGACGTGAGTAACAATATGTATAGATAAAATATAATGATGATATATTAATCATATAATAATTGAATGATGACAATGATACATTCAGTAGCACAGTTGGTAGAGTGTTTGCCCTCTGATCTGAAGGTTTCTGATTCAAAGTCTTACTCTCGACATAAACATCACTGGTAAAGCAGCTCTGATTTTGATTAGTCCTTTACCATTTCTTTCTGATTTCTGTTGCAGCAATACATTTTACATTGAATATGACTTGTATTTTATCATTAAATATTAATTCTAGACTTGTCAAAATTGTTGGAATTGTTATATGTTGCACTAATGTTGCACATTTGGAGAGTTCAGTTAAAGTGTGAAATGCTGTAATGTAGCCTTAAGCTCACGGATATCATTGCATCACTTATTTCAAATAATGTTGCCGTTTGCCATGGATTATGCAACAGCTCCGCCATGTGATTATAAGTGAATTTCATTTTCCTCCAGTGTAGATGATGCATGGATTACATATATTAGTTTTAATGATAGATTACACAGAATTGACTCTTGTGAGCTTTAAGCCATGTTATATGTTACCTCATTAAAAACATACTTGGAATTGTTCTGTTTCACACATCTTTGAGTAATCCTTTATGATTAATCTGTCTACAGCTTAAAAATGTCAAAATTTCTTGTAATGTCATAAAGCAGTAGTTTTCAAATGAACACCTATCTTTTATATTTTGTTCAGAAGTTTAAGAAATTCCTGAGCTTTCCATTTGAGAGAAGAATCAATCAATCAATCAAATCACTTGATCAAACTTTATTTATAGAGCGCTTTTCATACAAAAGATGCAATGTAAAGCTCTCTTGAAGAACTCTCTGGGTTTGTGTGTTAAACGTGTGTATGAAACAAAGCACAACTCCAGGTATGTTTTTGATGAGGAAACATAATAGAATAACAGAATAATTCAGAAAATGGTGTAATTTGGACCCTTTAAACTCACTGTGATCTGACTTTCTGTGCTGGTGGGAGCATGTGGTTGGCCTGGCGTGCATCACTCTGGCTCAGGTGTCAACTGACTGACAAAGGCATGTCGACCTCTATAAGCTCAAACAGAGTGACCCAGTTGATCTCGCATTGGCCATAGGCTGTTTGAAGAAGTGGACTGAGGGAGTGTGACGTCACCTATCACGTCCAGCTCCTGTCAAATGAAGCTCACGAGGCCAGCAGTTATAGGAGTGAATTTGGAGCCAGTTTCATATGAGGAAAAGGAATTTATTTATGGACAAAATAAGTTAATAGGAAGCAAAACGGGGAGCCTGACAGCAGCAGTTACAGAGAGAGGGGTGACGTTTTTCCAATACAAAGTGAAATGGAGTTAATGGAGCCAAAAACACGCCCATGCTCACTTCCTATTTGGAAAACGGTGGCTAGCAGGTTAGGTATCTCCATTTATGTTTACAGTCTAGGGCTTATTGTTAGATAAAATGGATAGATTATCAATGTATCACTGTCCTACATTTTGTTTTGATAATATGCAAATGCTAAATCATTTCTAGTATCTAATTTATAATGAAATGTTGCAAAAAGAGAAGCTTAAGAGAGAAATGAGATATATTTTTTGTCAATAATACCTACACTACTGGAGCTGCGCATTTAAACCGTCATACTATAGTAAGCGCAGTTTCCTATTGTCTTTTCATTGTTTGTAAAGCGTTTTTGTGTTTCCAAAAAAGCGCTTTATAAGTCCTGATGTATTATTATTTTATTATTTTATTATTATTAAGCCATCTGTTCGCCATTTAGCCATTATGAAACTGCCTGGAGTTTTTGCTGATATTTAGTCAGTCTCCCTCTCCTGCGCTGAATGCTCTTGTCACTCTCTGGTGCATGTACGATGATGGTCCCTTGTGTTTTTGGATTACACTTCAAATCGCCTCCATAATGTAACTGCCACTGTTTTGAGCATGATACCAGGACCCGGGGGCATATTCTAGACAGGTACATTATTCTGAATTACACACTACTGAGAGTAACAAGGCTAAGGTGTTCAAAGTAGTTCAAAAAGCATAAATAATGCATAACCTTTTAACGGGCCAATAAAAAATGAATAAATGGTTTGACTTTTCTCCAAAGCTCCTGTAATTTAAAAGTTTGTACACACACTGTCTCTGCAGGCCTGTGGGGAGCGCGCAGTCCCAGTTTCTCATAATGTGATAAATGAGCGTTCTATTGTAGTATCCTAGTCAACAGCATTTATGTTTATTCTGAGTTTAATTGTAAATGTAATTGCAAACGGCTGGTTGTGCTCTTATGGGATGTGTTTGGAGATGTGTGCACAGCTCGTACACACATCTGGGACTCCGCACTGGCCCTGGTCCCGGCCTGGAAACTCTCTCCTGGGCAAATGAGGCTTTCGATAATCAGGTAATTAGAGAAACAATCAGCATTTCCAGAACACACAGACACAAGCAGGACCTGAAGGACCAGAGCACACCACTGTACAAGGACTCATTACACACTTGAATATTTCATGCATGTGTGAACTGGAACTGTTGGCATTGCATTAGTGTTGTAGAACAAAGACCTGGAACTAAGGGAATGAACTTACAGACCTTAAACACCACATGACCGGTTAGACTATTTAACATGTTTGTTTTTTTGTTTTTTGGACATGGACAGCAAGTGAGAGTTATGGAATGACCTATTACCAATACCACTAACAGCGCTGCATCTGATTTGACGATCACAGTTGGCCTCTGAGCAGAGATGTGACCATAAAGAAGCACATGAACTGTTCTGCACATTAAGTTCCGCTTGATCTATAAAAATATTTAGGACTCTTAAAGGTTTTTATAGTTCCCAAAAATATCAGCACTGTGTTTGTGTTTCCGATAGTAGAATGCTAATTTTGTTAAGTGGCGCCGGCGATTATTTGCTTTTACGTGCACAGTGGCAGAGTTAACAATTTGGGGCCCTAGGCAAAATTGAGTTTGGGCCCATCACTATAATGCATCATGTTTTTTTATTATTATTATTTTTTATATATATATTTATTGTCTGTTTTTCCTCATTGTTCTTGAGACACGCACATCTCTATTTAATTGAATTATGGTGGATTGGAAATTTGTCTTATTAGTTAGGTCGCCTACTAGAACTGAAAGTAGTTTGTTTTTTTGCTAGTACAATTACATTTTTGTTTACATCCATTCCATATGATTATTATTATTTTTCTCATAATTATTATTT